AGTAAGGTGTGCTCTTCATTGAGACTAACTCAAAGGTTTATATAAAATCATGATTTTAATGTCTAAAAGCATAATCACAAATTACATATAGTTGATCTCCATGGACTTCCATTTAAATCTGCCAAAGGTATCTATTTATGCTAACTGCAAGAGTGTTTCTGGAACAGGCCATTTATTTTACATAATCTCCAAATCATCTCCTGCACTATTGATGCAGATTAGTTTTAAGCTAATGGTAAAGAATTAAAAGTGTTTCATATCATCTTCTTGGAAATGGCCATGTAAATAATGAGTTGTCCACTTTGTGGAATTCATGTAGTAGCAGCACAAACCACTCAAAGCTCATTTCCCTCGTCTTAAGTACTTAACTAGAAGCTAGTAGTACTGCACTTAGTTACAAGCTACTGTGTTTGCTTCTTTCTGGATTATTTAAGCAATACGTGTCACTGACAAACAGACCTATAATCAGCTCATCCTCACACCGTGAGGCTTTAGAGAAATTAATGGGAAAAAAACAAGAATTCTCCATTACCCCATAATCAACAGATATTTCTATAACCAAGTGTCTCTGTAGTTTATTTTCTATGAATTGCCAGAAAGTTATGGACTGAATGAGAATTATTACTTTTAAAAGTATGTACTGTATATATTTATTTTACAGTTTTTGTATATCACTGCATTCTAATCTAGTGGTTTCCATAAAAAAAAGTACAGGAATCCTTAGGGCTTTACACTTTCCCTACTCCTGTTTAACATCTACATGAGGTCACTTTAATTATTCATGTTTTAGCTTGTTCTTTTATTCTTTTTAAGCAGCAATCTTAGGAGGGCTGACACTTCGGAGGGCGGCTATAAGAGGACTTTCTCCCTACTGTCATTTAAGTTTAATAAAGTTGACCATTATAGCTTCCCACCATATGGGAGTGATAGATCTTTTGTACTTTAATGTGCTGGAGTGAGTTTCGGATGCTTGCTCAGTGGTGTGAACTGTGGTGCAGGCAGCTTCCTGTAGTGGATGCAACTTCCTGTACTACCCAAGTTGCATATATCTGTATCTAAGTAATTCTTCCTGTGTATTTAATTCTGTTGTACTCTTCTTTTCTTGTATGAGGATGGACTGTTGAACTGCCTTAGGTTATAGAATTGCCGAATCACAAAGCTAGAAGTGTTAAAACAGGCTGAGGAAAGAACCAAAGGAAAGCTATAATGAATTCTGTGTGGCCATGGGGAAGACAGCAGAAAACCAATCCTTCTGAGATCGGGAAGTATATGGAAAAGGAAGTATGTACCCAGAGCCAAAGTTTGTGAACAGTGCAGGCCATGATGGAGGATGTTATAAGAATGTTATAAAAGGAAGATGGAATCAAGAAACTTGGTCAAAGACCTCTGACCCACGTTGTCCATCTGCTGCACCCTGCCTTCCCCAGACCAGACTGTGATCAGCTTGGTCATGAGAGAGTATACAGAATATGTCTGTGTGAACGAGGGAGAATTAATTATTGAAACTGCTTAAATAAGCCAAATACTTTTGCTGCTTGTTCATGGTTCTGTATCTACTGTTGCCCAAAGTCCTAAACCTCTTGACATTGGTTCCTGTTTGCAGCCACCCTACAGCTTGACGTTAGAAAGCAAGGATGCTCAAGCGAGACCCCTGAAATTCTTTGACAGAAGGTGCTATTCCAGCCATCGTGTAACTTACTGATCAGTGAGGGAATCCAAATTAAAACATCCACAACAGTGTGGTCTCCACTTCAACACATCCAATAAAAGAGAGACCCCCCCCCCCAAACTTCTCTGGATAACTGGTTCCACTGTTGAACTATTGTTGCAACAATGTTTTTTTATAACATTCCCTGGAATATGTCTTCCTGTAACTTAAATTCCTTATTTCTTGTCCTGCATTCTAGAACAATGGAGAATGAATCTTGATTTTCTTTTGTGTGATATCTTTGAAGAGAGCCAACTTATTCACTCTCTTAAGATTAAACATACCCAGCTCATTCTATCTCTCTTCATAGTGCTTACCCAGATTGACCAGTTGCCCGTCACCAGAACTATTTTTAGGAGGCAGGAATGCACAACACTCTGTACTCACCCTCAACTGAGTCAGTGGTTACCATGATCTCTAATGTCTTCTAGAGTTATCTTGATCAAGAATGCTATAATAGCACAATGAATGTAATACTTAACTTGTAAATATAGGTTTGCTGGTTTGTATCCTGAGAGAATATTTTCCTAATTACTATTTTGTTTCCCTGAGCTACCTATCCCCATCCCTGGGCTTTCCCGCCCCCCCTTAATAAGGCTAATCATCACTTCATTTTTCCAGTCAGCTGAGGTAGAAGAAATTAATTCCAAACAGGTATGGAAATATTATATATATAGTACTTGTTATGATTATTCTCCTTTTTAACAAGAGTAACAGTTACAATTGTACCAAACAATTTATGGTAGCTTTCACTCACACAGAATGCTATTTTCTTCACTTTCCTAGGATGATTTTTTTTTTTTTAGAGTTTTTAACTATGCTAAGGATTTTCTATTTTTCTCAAATTTTCCAACTTCTATCACGACTTTACTATCCTATCAAATTCTAGAAAGGAAATCCACTCTTCCTTCCTTTTGCCCCGAAAGTAACATACGTGCAGATTTCAGTGATTGCAACAAACCAATATTCTAGGAAATGATAGCCTTCCTATAAACAATGTGTTCATGATACAGATTTAGGGGGTTGTTAAGTCTCCTACTTTTTTGCAGTAGGAGAACACATGGGGAATTATAATCCAAAGTAGGAATTGGTAAATTCTTTAGATCCTAGGCTTTAAAAATAATCTTGCTTCACAAACCAACATCTGAAATCTCAGAAGACTGGTATATCTTTTATGTTTCTGGCAATGTCACAGAAAGGTATCATGAAAGAATGCCATAAAATCTTCACAAAACTTTAACATTCTTAGATAAGATCTCATGAGATATGTTGATTGCACAAAATTCTGAACATTTAACTTTAAAAAAAAATTAAAATTAATCTTAATTTAGTTTGGGGTAGTAGTAGATATTATCTAAGAGAGAAAGGATGGATGTCCTGCATTCAGGGATGCCTTCTTGCTAACTTTGATCCAAAGAAAAAGAAACTGAAGGCTCATATATGATAACCTTATAAAAAGGGAATTAACAGCCTGTGGTCATTTGAAGAAATTATAAGAGTTATTTTAAGCAATATATTTTACTAACTGTGCCCAGCCTTGATTTTGGCTCAGACTTCCAATTTTGTGAGTACTATATACATTTGTCAAATGCTTATATATCTAAGAACGTATACATACACACCACCCTAAACAGATAATTCTCATTAAAACTATACTGATTCAAAGTAAAATCATAATGAAGCCTTATGCTTTATGAAAAACAATCTTAGATTCCCTCGTTACATATAGCCACAAACAAAAGACATATCAGTAACATGCTGACTCCCTTAACAGGACCTCTAGTGAGCGTTTCCTTTCTCAACTAATGAATAGCTAGTGTTTTATAAGGAAGGAGAGAACAAAACCACAAACATGTTCTAAAGGTACAGGTTAGTAGAAAGAACACATAAAGAATAAAAAAAAGTTATTGGAAAAATGCTTATGGAAATTAAATCAATCATTTATTTTTCAACAAATTGATAAATACATA